GGGAAATTCTGTGCTCTTGAGATTGAAGAGGTCGAAGAACTCGGACCTGGCAAGCGAACGATTACTTTGATCGTCAAGTATAGCATAGACATTCAGTGATTTGTCTGGCTCTGCCTTGGGGTGAACTTTGATGAGACAAATTTTCGAACAAGATCGTGAACTATTAGTACCTCCACAGACCTCTGTGCATTTAGAGTTAATGGAAGGGTTTGAACTTTCTTTCTCCCCACCATGCTCTGCGTTGGGTACTTTTAGCATCCAAGGAGGTTGTCCAGGATGAAGGGCTGTGACATGTTTATTGCTCCCACACTCTGTGCACTGTATGCTAACATCACAGTCTTTAGCCACATGGTCGTTTGAAGAACAACATCTGAAACAGATATTATGCTCCTTCAAAAATGCTTTCCGTTCCTCAGTACTCTTAGCTCTGAAGGCTCTGCATCGTTTGAGGGGATGGGGTTTTTTATGAATGGGGCATTGTCTGTTGATATCTGGTTTACTATTTGGCGAATCTGTAAAGCTGGTTGTTTGAGCAATCTCAGTTTTGTGAGTAGAGATGAAGCTTTTCAGTGGTCCGCCTCTTTTCACTGAAATTTCTGGCTTTACAGGGGCAGTCGAAGATAAGTGGAACGTAAAACTTGGGTCGTTGCGCATGTAGGCTTCCCTGCATACAAATTCTGTGAAAAATGTGAATGGAGGAAATGGTACCTGGAACTGAAGCTTGTATTAGGACCCTTGGGACATCCACTTCTCTTGGAGATTAGGAGGAAGCTTGTTGACAATAGGTGCCACACCCCGTGCTGTGTCTAGGAAAGAGAGCCCAGGTAAGAAGCCCCCAAGCTTTGTTGACTCCACCTCCCTGACAAGATCTGCAAGTTCTCTTAACTTTTGGGGTTCTTTATTGCTGATTTGAAGGAAACAGTCCAGCTTATCAAAGAGTGTTTTCTCAATTATTTCTGCACTCCCGAAGCTTTCTTCTAGACGGGACCATGCCATTCTACAGCCGGCTGCTGGATCAGCGACATGAACAGCTCTTACTCTCTTAACTTGTTCTGAAGACTGTGGTCCTAACCACCTTATCAGAAGATCGAGCTCCTCACTAGGAGTGAGTGATAGTCCTTCTAGAGAATTAATAAATGACGACTTCCATGCCAAGTAATTTTCCGGGCGATCGTCAAACTTACTAAGCCCTGAGTTAACAAGCTCACGACGCACAAGGTATCTAGCTATTTCACTCATACCTATGTAGTCTGAAGAGGATGGCTGTTGTGTTGTGCTGCTGAGGTAGGGAGTCTGAGGTTTGTTAGATTTCTCTGAAACCGGAAGTTGTCCATATGCTTGGTTACGTGAGAACGATATGTATGGTGTGTGCTGGGGAAATGATAGCTGTGCGCTAGGCATTCCCGGCTGACTTACTTGGTATGGTTTGGGAGTAGATATGCGGGTCAATCTGTCAGCGTCTTGTAGGACATAGCTTGTGGCAGTCGTGGTGGTCAGTGCAGGCATTGTCATGAACTGTTTGTGATCACGGGAGTCAGGCTCTGCTTTAACGGGAGGGAGACAGTGAAAACTTGATCCAGAAAGACTGTCCACATAGTCCTGTGTGCGCTTTTCAACTGTCTCCTGTGGATATGTTGTGGCGTCAGTTGCCATATCAATTTCTCCTGACTCTATTTCTGTTGCGGCCGCTTCCAGAATTTCGGCCTCTTTTGCTGTTGCTGCAACCTCCTTTTTATGCTGTAAAGATAACAGTTCAGATTCCAGTTTGGCCTTTTCTAGCAGTACCTCAGCCTCTTTCTCGACAAAAGTTGTACGTGCTCTCACTGCTTCCGCTTTAGCCCGCGCTCTGGTAGCTGCCATGCTTGCTGTGGATGATCTCGAGCTCTTGGAAGATGCCGAGATCACTGATCTGGTTTCCAGTTGACTGAGTGAGACATGCGGAGTCTGTTGTTTCTCCTCAGCTTTCTCTTTAACATCCATCTTGAGTCAGTTGCAGTGGCTGAAATAACTGGATAGCTCTTCTTCTTGTAAGTGCTGTGTTCTGCCCGTCGTGATGATGCTTTTTCACTATTCTGTCCTCTGCATGCATGTGTGTTGAGCATGCATATACAGATAGCCAAACATTGCAAGGAGATGACTGATCAGCTTCAATGACCACTCAGATGATTGAATAAATTTTCTCTTTACTTTTGCTTGAGTGCAATCATGTAGTTCAATCTCCGTTACATTCTTTTGTGAAACTGCAAAATAAATACAATAAATGCTTACTTAAAAAGAAACAAACAAAATACAGTAACTCGTTATACAATGTTTACGTTTACATTGGTAAACTACAGTAACGTTAATTACACCGATCTTTTGAATGTGAATACAAAGCATATGAAAAGCTAGCATGCTTCCAGCAAAGATGAAAGAAACACGCAATCTCTCTGCTGCGAAATGGCCACTGTGCTTCGCGTGTTCCCCGATATGAAGTATAACAAATAAAGTTTTGTCAAACTGGATTTTAACTCAACCTATGTCAAACAGCGCCCTCCAGTGGGGAGGAAGAAGTAATGTTAGACATGGCATAATAGTTTCAGTTATTTTAATGGTAGGACTGGTGAGTGAACTCATGCTGAACTGATTGACAGCTTTAGCAATTATAACATGATCGTTATTTGACCACTTTCTGTATATAATTTAATCACAATTTGAATATCAGCTGTTTTTCTACTAGAAAGACAAATGTGCCTATGACTGTTCAATTGATGGCTTGGTTTTGCCATTGCATAAGCACAAATGATTTTATCACAGATCAGGTTTAGAATTAACATAGTTAGCTACTTAGATGGATGCAGAATAATGCTGCAACATGTTTCACTGAAAGTGTGTTTGCAAAGCTTGTGTCCAATTGTGAGAAATAATTGTGCCCTTCTGATCGCAGATATTTATTAGCTTAGGTTTAAAATTACCAAATCAGTAGCTAGTTAACAAAAGACAAAGATAGGCCATATGTTAATGCAATACTAATAAAAACAACCAACTAACTAAATAAATAAATAGACAGTCTCGCTATTAACTAACCGTTAACTACAACTTTTGCTTTTTAACTACTAATAAACTCCTACTAAAATAAACTCCTAATTTGCTGCTTATTAATAGCAAGTAAGGTAGTTGTTAAGTTTAGGTATTGGGTAGGTTTGGGGATGGAGAACATGGACATGCTCTTTATAAGTACTAATAAACAGCCAATATGTTATTAATAGGCATGCTAATAAGCAACTAGTTAATAGTAAAAATTGGTCCCTATTCTAAAGTGTTAAAGACACTATAATATAGGAAACAGAAACTATATTGTACTAAAAATAATAATGAATAATTCCAAAAAGCTGGATTCCTTGCCAAAACTGAGTAGCACAGATGGTAAAAAAAAGAACTGACCTGTGACCTGTAAGATCCTACAATGGATGAATATAGCTCTAACACTTTAGAGTGTTTATGTACCTAAACAGGCAGACTGTAACGGAATGAACACAGGAAGCGTGCAAATCCATCTGCAAGGCTTTATTCACAAGAGACGTGGTCAAAAACAGGCATAGGTCAGACAATGGCAAACAGGTATATTGATGGCAAGGCAAGAGGGATAATCCAGGTACAAGGCAAAGATCGAGGCAGGGGCAAACAGTATCCAATTGGGCGAGACTCGAGGGATAATCCAGGTACAAGGCAAAGATCGAGGCAGGGGCAAACAGTATCCAATTGGGCGAGACTCGAGGGATAATCCAGGCACACAGGCAGTGATCAGAAAACGGGGAAACAGACAAGGCAAGACAAAGAAAACAAGGAAAACAAGACACTAGGCTCAGTAATGCAGCTATCGCTAGATGAGTGATAAACGCAGAACAATACACGGCGATCTGAACAGGAACTGAGAGAGTGTTAAATAAAGTGTGTAATGGCTCTCAGATGAGCGTGTGATATGTGACGGCTGTGTGATCAGTGAATTCAGCTGTGTAAGTGCAATGGATGATGGGAACTGTAGTCCGGAGTGACATGTAACAGTCTGTGTAGTGTGAGAGTCAATGTAATGGTAGAGTGACCTCTAGTGGCAATCGGCCAGAAGGCCACGGACTGGATTCATGACAGAGCCCCCCACCCCCCCCAAGGAGCGGCTCCCAACACAATACCATCCAGGAGGGTGGTGGAGCGGAGGCGGAACAGGGGGAGGGATGGTGGGCCAGGTCCATGTGGAAATGGAGAGACTGGGAACTGAGGCAAAGCCGGCAGAGCAGAGCACCAAGGTGGAGCAGACGGAACAGGAGCCCACCAGGGTCAGCGGCTGTACCAGGACTGGCAGACAGTTCAGAAATGGCATCTTTGGCCGTAACAGGGCGAGCAGAGAGTTCAGGGGCAGCCTTTTTGACCATGGCTGGAATGAGAGAGAGTTCAGAAACGACCTCCTTGGTCGGAACAGGACAGACTAAGAGTTCAGAAACGGCCTTCTTAGCCATAACAGGATAGCCAGAGAATTCACAGACGGCCTCCATAGCAGTGACAGGACAGACAGAAAGTTCACAGACGGACTCCATAGTGGTGACAGGACAGACTGAGGGTTCAGAAATGGCCTTCTTAGCTGTGACAGGACAGGCAGAGAGTTCACAGACGGCCTCTATAGCAGTGACAGGACAGGCAGAGAGTTCACAGACAGCCTCTATAGCAGTGAGAGGACAGGCAGATCGTTCCCAGATGGCCTCCATAGCCGTGACCGAACAGGACGAGAGTACACAGATGGCCTCCATAGCAGTGACAGGACAGGCAAAGTGTTCACAAACAGCCTCCTTGGCCGGAACAGAACAGGACAAGAGTTCATAAGTGGATACCACTGACACCTCTACCACCTTGCAAGAAGCTGAGGCGAGCACCGCCACCTTGGGAGGTTCTGCAGCATCAGCCGACACCTCGGGAGACATCGCAGTGGCCGCCGC